TTATCACAGGATCGGTGGGTCCTAGTAAAAGAAAACCAGTTCGGTTTTAGACATCAAAAATTACCTGATGCTGACTACCATTCTCGTAAGTTCAAGAACAATACAATAATTCTGACATAATTGGTCAGTTAGTGTGAATATTGGTGAAATATGATGAATAAGCAGGGCATAGAGACCGCTTCTACTTCCAACCATCGATGATTATTAGGCACCTTAAACATTTGAACTAATCTCACCCGTGAGCACTGCAACTGCTATAATGAAGTGAACATCTGGTCCTTATTGACGTTCGCACACAGCATTTTGTTGGTGATGGGAAGAGAGAAAGTTCGGACGCCCAACCTGAGTTCTAATGCAGTCAAGTAAAAAACTGAGCACTGTTTCTCCAAAACCCAGTTAATTTCAAATAGTGATTGATTATCACACAACCCCTGTTGACTTCACAGGCTACAATGATCCACGTAGAGTGACGCGCAAAAAACCCGGAAGGCAACGTCTTTCAACAAATGGGTTTCTTCTACAAAAGCGGTACTGAAATACAGATTACAACAGTGTAAAATGTACAATCCTCAAACTGTGGCACTAGCCGGTTGACAAACACCGGAATCTGTGAAGTCAGTAATTCAACAAGCAAGAACTGCGAGCAAGCATGCGCACAGTGCGATAACAGTAGAACGAATACACCGAACAACATCACATGAATCTGTGGTGGTCACTGGTGAGAAGCGACCTAGAGGGAACCAATCACAACACAGTGGGTGTGAATATTTGTCATCAGGGCCCGTCGTGACAGGACAGTGCGGTAAATAGATGTAGGTGTGTGTGTCGGTATACACAAGTGTCAGAGTCAGTCGATCATGGGGACGGGTGAGACCGACAGAGGTCAACGTAACGGGGCAAACATACTAATAGTGCGTGCGTATGTGTAAACAGCGTGGAGAACAGTCATAGGCACGGATCAATGAGGGGACGAAATCAACATTACACGGTCAAAGGAAGACAATGGACAATAGGATTGTGGTGCTGGGTGTGTGTGAAGAGTGTTAATATGGGCAGAATTTATTCTACAACCCCTCTTCACAAGTAGCTGTATTTTAAATGCCAATTTCAAATAGGGTCAGATATCCATCATTCCTGAGGAAGCAGCGGATTCTGAACAGAGTTCCATAACTAATCCACTTTGTTGCGGTGCTCATTATCCGTACTTGTTGTGTGGAAACTACCATAATTTATGTGGTCTTTGGTATAAAAATTGGATATTTCCTAGTAGGTGTAATCCTCGCGGGTTTACCGAAATTCCGTCAACAAGATCAAACACAAATAATGAAACACGTTTGCCGGAGAAACTTTTCCGAATTTGCCAAAAGACCCGAACACCGAATCTTGCTGAATGGTAACCGATCTAAATCTGTAAGTTCCAATTGGTGTACCAAGAAAGCAAGTGGGCGAGACAAACTACTTGGGGCAGTGGACTGAGTTAGGTTGGTGAATCAAACACAGCGACACATATTGTTCCTCTTCCGAACCACTATCAGATAGTATGTGTTTTGATCAGCTGCTAGTAGCTTTTGAACATTCATCTCGCCCTGTTGATGCGATTGTTCTGAATGGCTCTTTGAAATGGGGCCCGCGGCATCCCCTTGTAATTCAGTGGTACTGCACGTTTGTCTACAATACTCGCTTTTTATATATCACAAGGTGCTTTCGAAATGCATTTGGTTTCCTTTTCTCTGCTGCTCTTGATTGGTTTGCCCGACTGACTCTGTTGCCCTTACTATGGGATGCGGAGGCGGCCTCTGGACCATGGGTACCACTGCAACCCGAAAATTGATAACCACACACATCCTTATACTACTCATTAGTAGTTACAATCTATAAACCGCCCGGGTGTTAGTCCTCGTCGGCCGCGTTATTCCCATCTATCATATGGGTAACACTCCGTCCTTAGATCATTTGAACCCACCAACAGTGTTCTTTTAGAGATCCATCAAAGTCTTTGATGTTTCTAACATCTAATGATATGTACTAGACCGGTATCATGACAATTACAGGCTACTCAGAATTAAATAATTTCTGCATAAACATGAGTATTTAGTGAGATTGTAGGTGTTGACGGGATGTGGGTTAAATGTTCTTCGTCCTCCCGGAATTTTAAACTCTTGATAAAAAGAGAGTTTGATAGGAATTAACCTACCTGGAGCTAATTTGCCCATCAGTCTCGACTTACGGATGGATATTCGGGTGTCAATGTGGGCTTTATAAGCTGGTTCAGAGACTCTGTGACGTAGATAATATAATTATAATTATATCCGGAGCGCTATTTAATTGTAACTTACTGCCTACTTGGAATTGAAAACAACGGGTTATATATTATTTTGAGTTGAAAATCTCCATCATCATTACATTAGTCACTACCTAACCGTCAAAAGTGACTCTTTCGAATAATTTCCACCATTCTCAGTCTAGCGTAGCAGCTTAGGTTACTCTTCAAAGTCTTACTTGCCTGTCGTCGCATGCCTTACATCCCGTCCGTTTTAAGAAGCATTTGCAGTGGGCATTTTTCGGGATAAGGATATATAACTGAATTTTAATAATTGATGAACAAGATACAAACAGAGCGATTTTCCCTCAATGAGATTTAAGGTTTGCTTATGAGGTCTTATAAACGCCGCATATAAAAGATATATGATCAAATATGCACATGATGTGTTCAATTCTGAATGTGTCAAAATATCACCAATAACCCAAAGCGGGAAAGACGCAGGTAATCCCTGACATAAAAAATGGTACCCGTCCCCGGAAACACGCGTCAGTGTTCGTGTGGATGGATGCATGCGATCAGTCGAAATGAAAAATGCCGATAGCAAAGAAAGTGAGGAGTGAAAAATTGTTGATCGGGATGCGGTTCGTACAACTATCATTACTACTCAAATTTCACCCTACTCCTTGCGTGGTTGCACTGGATGACTAGCGTGGACGAACTGAATATTGTACGTGAAGAGGACGAACAGTTAAATGAATGGTATTATTGCTGCTGGAGTCACCACTTGTTTGCGACCAGAAAGCATGTCAAATAAGTAACGGAACACGAATGCATGTGATAAATAAACCAAACCATGAGTTATTCGTTTGTAGGACACCGCCTAACATTCACTTTCCGAGGCACCTTCTACGCATACTCAGAACAATCCATAAACATTAACACCTCTCCAAGGCTTATGAAGTCAACTTTCAGTGGTCGATCCCAAGTTGGTGGAGAAACTGAAAATTCGCCTGGTTTTTCTTGTGTATTATTTCAATCTCCNCCAATCGTGGCCCCTCCCGCCACAGAAGTAACGAAACACCAACTTCAAGTCAGAGAAATGCAGATAAGTTACTCTAGTTCACAAGATCTTCCAAAATTTTGGAAAACTGGTGATTTCCCTTATGCTCAATTTAACTACACAACTCTTTTCCAATCCCTCCCCTCGTACGTTCGTGATTTACCCAGCTAAGTTCAGATAAGCCGCAGCCGAAGTCCTCTGATTAGAGACAGCAATCTTACACACTGAATTCTAGTCCACCACAAACTCCTGCTTTCCGTAATTTCCCTAATCGTCCCTTCATTAAATAACCGCAGTTTTTACATCTTTAGGCGAATAGACCGAAAGAAATGCATGCCAGTCCACTAGCATGCTGTCTCGAGAAAATTTGCCTGTAATCTTAATCTAAAGTTTAATTTTTTTGCTTTGCTTTCATCGGTATCGTCAACACAGAGTACATCGTCCTATTTTGCATGCAAATCACTCAGAGAATTTTGACTTAACCAGTGGTGAAAGAAGGAACGTTAAGATTGTCGCTTCGCCTCAGTACCCTTCAGGACCTTCAAACAGCTAGCTAGATGGCCTTTCGGAAAACCAGAGAAATCTACTCGGGCTAATCTCTTTATGCAGTAAGTTAACCATCGTAACTACACCATATGTTTTCCTCCACCCTGCAAACGGGGTTACATGGTAGATGACCGCTAGATATAGGCAACAACTGTTCCATCTGACGAAGCTTACTCATGCTGTGAGAAAGAATTTTCCGCTGAGATACTCCCAAACACAATAGCTAGTCAAGGTGTTGCTATTCCGCCAGTTCTACCTCATTCAAACGAACGCGATAGGTAGGCAGATAGAAGCTCTCGGTTTACCCTGTCGGGTCTGGTTTGCAAACTGTGCAACAGGTTAGAAAAGATAAGATAATGAGCGACTTCCAACTCAGTAAGGGAGAAAGAAAACATAAACCGCGAGGAGAATAACGCTTGCGATTTCCTGTCCGCCCAGTTAGTTTTTTTAAGGGATGAAGACCACAGACGGAAATTAATTGTAACCTTCGGGTGTAGTAGTATCCACACTGAAGACAAGGTTCATCTTATACATTGCAGCTGCACTAGACGTCTAAACGTAATTGTACCGTGATTTTTTCGGTCGCAGTCTGACCTCAACACACCCAAAATGCGTGATCAGATCGCACCAACAACCGGAATGTGATGTAATGCATCTAAGGTATGGCTCCTCCCNGCGACAAAATAGCACCAGTGTAGAAACACATTCTGTTGCCGAATTGTACTCGCAGTTGCGAAACGCTAGTTAAGCATCCCAAGGAGATTTGAGCGAATCCCCAGATGTAGTGGCACTGAAGATCAAGCATGATGCAGACGAATCTCATTGTGAGATCACAAGTGCATTCTAGTCATTTTGCCACAGGCAAGCAACTGAACAACATTACCATTCCCATCATTGCTCAAATGCGTGTGTGTGTGGGGGGTCATAATGTACCGATCATAAGAAAGCACGAACATTGATGAAAAATAACATTTTTCGTTCAGTTCGAGTGATGATCAACGGAATGAATTTACAAACAGAAAACAATCAGTGTTGTGCGTGTGTGTAACTTGTAAGAGAAATGCACATGAATTTTGAAAAGTCAACCACAAAAATGTTCGTATCTCTCTCGGTTGATTTGGCATAGGTCTATCACAATTCGGCGGAGTCCGTCGTATCTCCGGGCGCATTGACCGTTGTTGCTCCAGGCGTTGGAGCCGCCCCGTCATGAGAAGCAGTTACATTGGTCGAAGCACCTGTTTCGGGAGCCTTAGGTGAGTGGAGATCTTCACAAACAGGAGCACTAGACGTGGAAGAGTTAGTTGCCGTGGAATTTCGAACTTGTAACCTATCCACACCGGGTTGTACATTCGGTTCGGAATGCAATGAGGAATTGGGAGATGGAATTTGCCGTTTGATTCGTTTACACTTGGCAATATAACGTTCCCAGTGGTTGTGATTTAGCTTGGTGAAATCCGTCTCATTCTGAGCAATCAGTTCTAAGTAACGAGCTAATCCACGTAACTCTCGATCGGTTTTGTAGTTTACATGGGCATCTCGATAAGAGCGTATCTAGAAAATGAGCAGGTATAAAAGAAACCACGATAGCATTATGACACTTGATGAAATAGCACTGGACTAGTGATGAAGAAGGGTGTAACAAAACGCATTCTTAACCAAAATGGAACTATCTAAGTGACTGACTTAGCTGCTACAAATATATTCTACAGTAAATGGTGTGTGAATGATTTTACGAAATTTCCCAGGAAGCACACGGCCAATTTCTCGGGTTGTTGCCGCTCGTCAGGCATGCGTATCCCGTAATCTTGCGTTCATATACTTAAACCCAGGAAGTGTATTTTCGACATCACTATCCCATTTGCAACACCGAGTAGATTGGTTTGAAGGAATCATTAGAATAGCTGTTTCGTCCTATTTGGGACTCGTCAGCAGTGCGTACTATTTGTGTCCCTGGCAGGACTCGAACCGTGATTCATTGGGCTGGGACTACAAACCCTTACCCATGAGCTACACGGTCGACACCTTGTACGAATGGTTCAATCAATTTAGATGGTGAATGTTTGAATTAGCCCATTGGGTTTTTCACAGGCACCAGGCGTTGTTGGTTTTCCCAAATATTTCCATCGCATTTAAATGCATACAAACAGCGGGGGATTAACGATCTCCCAAGGAGTGAAACCCACAACCGAAATCAGCGACAGTGCCGGGTGCCTGTGAAAAGCCGACTGGGCTAACCCAAACATTTACCATCTGAATGATTAGAATGATTTTTAGCACCAAAATTCTTTTCGTAGACACACGATCTCTGTTATCCTAGATCTGTAAGCGGCTTTCGACTAAGTCGACCGCTCTAAACTCTGGCACTGCCTTTTTCTACTGGATGTGCCCAAGAAGTTAATTTCAATATTACGATCGCTTCATACTAATAGCCGAAGTCCAATCCAGGCTTACGGCACTTTTTCGCCCGAGTTCACCACGGAAAGTGGTGTTCGTCAGGGTTACCCTCTCTCTCCATTTCTATTTAACATTGGTATAGATCTGATTATGGAAACAGCCCTATCCTCGTGCGAGGATAGTGGCATCGATTTACTCCCAGGTGGCAGATTGTCTGATCTAGAGTATGCAGACCACTTTGCGCTACTAACTGAAGATTCAAGTAAGTTACAAGCTTTTCTGGATAGTTTGAGTGCTAGTGTAGCCATGTTCGGCATGCGCTTTGCACCTTCAAAGTGTAAAATGTTACTTAAAGACTGGTTTCGTTCAGCACCCAGCCTCACCCTGACCGGGGAAGTTGTAGAGAACGTAGACAAGTTTTGCTACCTGGGCTATATCTCACCTGGCGGACGCATCACAGATGAAGTGTCGGCGCGCATACAGAAAGCTCGGTTGGCATTTGCCAACTTGAGATATCTGTGGCGCCGTCGCAACATCCGGTTGTCTGTGAAGGGTCGAGTGTATGTCGCGACAGTTCGACCAGTCATGCTATACAGTGCAGAAACTTGGCCATTACGGGATCAGGATAAAAATAGACTGTCAGTGTTTGAACACCACTGTCTACGTAGCATTGCACGAATCTGGTGGGGTAGCCGAATGAGCAATGAGGTTAGGGACAGAGTTTTGGGTATTCGCGGTCGCCAAATGGAGCAAGTGGTCGACCTCCATAGATTACGTTAGTTGGGACATGTGTTACGCATGTCACCAGATAAGTTGCCACGGTGAGCGATGTTCGCCGCAGCGGATACCGAGTGGAAAAAAGCCAAGGGTAGTCAATCTAAGACCTGGCACGAGGGCATGAAAACCCTCACCAGGAGTCTGGGTCACATAGGTCCTGTTAGGCTCCCTAGCTGGGGACCTCAGGATGATCGTAGCCGATGGTTAGAGACACTGAGTGATATGACTGAGTGTCGTAAACAGTGGCGTTCGTGCATCTTCTCAATTTCTCTGTATCATTAGTTCACTGAACTTTACGATTTTCTCCTCGACTCCACTTTCAGCTTTCCTTTCTTCTCCTACTCTTCATTCAAATGGGCAGCCAAAAGACAGCAACCAAAACCGGCGCACGAATATGCGTGGTTAATGGTTTTATAAACGGAAAACTGAAAATAACTGAGGGTGATTTCTCTACAGTTTAATGAGATAGTTGGTTATAGCCTCAATATCGATATAACGGCTCATTTTGCATAATTTGATGGTCATAACTCAACATATCAATGATCATAAGATGCATTCGCAGCTCTCAAATGAATAGACCAATTGGTTACATGATAGAATAAGCAAAACATTAAAGAATAAATTTATGCTGCGCGTCACATGTCCCTGCTCAGTAAAGACGACCGCGTTCTAGTTCAACTTTCCAAAGGATCTGAGCTTTAAAGATGGCGCTATACAGTGTAGTCCTCCCCCGCTTCTAAGCTTACCTGTACTGGTTCCCGACCTTGGGCACTTAGACTTCCAGTAAAAATGTTTAAAAGGGCTTTCCTGTGTCCAGCTCCCAACGCATCGCCGTTTTTNGCCGTTTTTTGCTCCACAAACTCATGCATCGTTTTTGGTCAACCTTTTCACTTCTTCCTCTTTAGATCCTCCTACATGCACATACTTGTCCGTCAAGTCACACACACACACACACACACACACACACACACACACACACACACTCCTATCCATCTTCTATTAAAAGGCAAAATCCTGATTTACTCCGTCTGGAATGGTTTTGTTGTCATTGCCTATGCTGTAAGCAGTATCTCTGGATTGCACAAAAGAACGTGATTCTTTCAACGGTCAAAAATGAACAAGACCTCTTAGAGAAAATTACTGTATCAAAAGTGGTAACTATGGGAAATACGCATCCACTGTTGGACCGTTCCAGTAATCATCCTGTGTGCTTGTGTGAATTCTGAAGACCTGTTGCCAATGAGACGTTTTGTTGTATGTATGCCGATACCGTTACCGTTGTTCTTAATAAATAAATTCCCTCGTCCCGGCATCGTCTTGTGGATTTGCAATCAAGTACTTTTTATTATCTCTTTCTCTCTCACACACACACAACTTTAACTTCTGCAAGAGCAGAATCAACGACTTACATTACACTGGCCCAGAATAATGTTGATCACCACAGACTAACGTCTTATGACTAAAAGCATTTTCACAGACTTAAATTCAATCAGTGAGGTTGGCGTCATATTGGTACAAATTAGCGCAAAAAATCTAACAATACGTAGACTCACACGGAGCCCATTTTTCGGATTCATGATGAAATTCCGCCGAATGTCATCGAACATGATTGTGTTGTGTGAACCCCATTGTGGGNTTTGACCTGAATTGGGGGTAGACAAAGCATGAGATAGTTGAGAATCAAGATAAATTATATATTTATATTTCGAAAATTAGACAGAAATACAGAAACCACTGCGTACAGGAAACCGACAACAACCGATCAGGTGCTGAACTACGAAAGCAATCATCTCATGAACAGAATTCATTTCAAGTAGGCATACGGAACGGTAAGCATTTAATTTTTGTGTTATCACTCTTTGAATTATTGCAGGGCTTGTGAATGGAAAACAATATTCGTTGACCTCAGAATACTCCTATACTCTTTGATCTGACTCACCTACAGTGGTATGAATAAAGTTTGTACGTCGAAGTATGACTATGGATCGTGCCTAAAGCACTGCGGGTTTTGGATAAAGATTGATGGGAAAAGGTGAAATTCTTGGCGTTCGCTTCTGGTATTGGTTACCATAGATTTGGGTCTTTTCAGTGGAAGACAATGGTAAAAGAAAAAGCATATCATTAACATTGACTAAACAGCGTTTTTTGAGAGGGAGCAGTGACATTTAGGCACCATCCTAGTGGGGCGAGCAGTAACGATAGATCAAAGGCATCAAATATTCTGTTAATCAAAATGATAACCGAAACCCCGGGGGTGGGGATCGGCAAAGCACGTGAGAACAGAAGCATAATTTTTAGTCACCACAAACTGAGAATCGTCGTCGTCGTCCCAGGCACAAAAAGTAGGGTTTCAAAGGTTTCCAGTTCGGACTGACTCGATCCCATTTAAAAATACCATAGCAATGGGATCCTATTAATCTTCAGCTATTAACCAGTATCGGAATGGTATTGGAAACACAGCGATGACGATATGATGGTCGCGACGTGGCTCCAAACCATCACGGAATTGCATCGGAAATAGTTCGTAGGTAATCCATGCATTGTTCAACTTGTTGTGCTATCAGGTGTGTCACCAGATCGGAAACACACTGCTGAGCAGAAAATCCAGCAATGGTTCATTCGCCCTTTTATCCGATGAAACGGTATCAACTGGTAATGCATGATCACAAGCGCATTCACCCCCGTCCTCTCCTGAGTTGTCTGTGCATTTGGCGTGAACATCCGATCCGTTGGTTTTCGTGAAAAGCAAAACACATTTGCAAGGATGAACTTAGGGAACGGTGGTAAGGTATATTTGCCTGGCAGAATGCGTCAGGTCAGTATCAGTCACAATTCAAAACGAAACGGTTAACTTTCCCAGCTGGATGTACGGTCGATTTAGGAGGGCGGGGGTGGAATGGGGTTGAGCTGTGTTGCAGTCTGACACCGTTTACCGGAGAAAAGTGCAAATGAAACAGTGCCATCTGACACTCAGAAGTGTGTTTTGGATCTGATGAATCAACTTGTATATAAACAAGGGTGATAGTGAAATCGAAATGGCCGTGTGTACGTCTGAAACGAGAGACTTACTTCCTTCACACCATGTGTAGGAAAATGAACGCTGATCATGTCGCTTGAATCTAGAACAAGGCAGATCCGAAACGAGGGTTCCGCTGACAGAGGACGAGCACTGAGTTGTTGTTGTGTTGGTGCATCGGACTGTTGTGCAGATGCATTCGAGGATTCGGGAGTAGGTTCGGATACAGTCCCCGTATTGACGGACCCATTCGCATTCTGGCGTAGAATCACGCTGGCATTAGACTGTATCACACCCAACTGACCCAACTTAGCGAGAATCCAAGTCATGCTAGTGGCTGACCAGATAGCAATATCGTAGTAAACGTACGCCCGAGACAAAAACTCATGAAGATAGGGTCGAGCCAAGTGTCTAGCTGATTCGGCCGGTGTGAGATGATCTTATGGAGAAAAGCAGAAAGAGGTGACGAGGAGGCTGTATCAACCAAACAAAAGTAGAGTTTGCTAACATGACATCGACCAATTGTCATTTTTGTATAGTGCGCGTTATTCATTTTTTAGTTGCTGAGGTCATTGTTGAATTCAAGGAAAAGCCTTCTTTGTGTGACGTTAAACAGTTAATCAGCTTAGATCAAGAGATTTTCATTGTTGATTCTCTGGGTTGTAAATAATATTTACAGAATACGGAATCTTTATCACATACGCGAAGTTCCCATATAATTTACGGTAATATCGGGGTGTAGCGAAACAACCGAAAACTTTTGTGAACGGATTTTGGCTGAATTTCCATTAAGAAAAAACTCCGAGGCGAAAGAATTATGTTCCATAATTCCTTATCATGCCAATACAAATAATATTGTGGAAAAATGTTGATACAATGTAGCCACTAGTTGGGTTTGAGGAAAGGAGTGGAGCTTTAAATACGCAGGTTAGTGTGCATCACTAGGTTATCATTTGATATGATCAGTTCCGGAATACCCTTAGCCACAATGGTCACCGCCTCGGTTGAGAGGTATGGCGTACTGCGCAACGTAGATCACATTCTAAGGGTAGGGGGATCGAACTTGTTGGGCACGATCCCAACGCATTGTGGTCTTCACACACCGCCTCGCTGTCTTAAAAGTTGAAACTGTCCGAAGAGCTACCATCCATGCATTTCTACATTTACTCCAACATTTGTTCACTACACGCATATGATTACTCTACCCAGCCCAAGTCAAAAGCCATGATGATGAAAAAGGAATAAATCTCGATCAGCCAGGATCAAGACACTGTTCAATTTTGCCGAAAGCATTAACTAACGAAAAGCCCTAAAGGACCGTGAAAAGCGAAGGGTCACAATGGCAAGTGAAACGGGAGAAACTGGACGCCGGATAGTGAAACAATCTGCAAGAAAACATCATCATACACCGAAATATAGTGGAGCGAACCTCACCGATCGGTGCCAAGCTCATAATTCATACAAATTGGTAACATGTAAGGTGGACAGGGATTGGGCCTGTTTTGAAGGAGGGAGAAAAAAGTGAACCTCTATGGTCAACACAGAGCATACGATCGGAAAGTACATATATAACGCTTTGAGTATTCTGGCCTGATAAGAAATGAGAGGAGCTGCTGTCCTTCAATGTCTCCAATCAATCAACTGCAGTACTTCGAACCACAACCTGGAAAGGCGCGAGACACTTACTCTAACCAATCGCTCTGTGCATTTTTGCATGCCTCTTCTCCACGTCATCTGTTGATCTCTATGTAGCTTTCTCCAGTCTGGAGTAGCTACAGCGAATAAAGTACGGAGCGGTACATGACAATTGGGCATACGTAATATTTGTGTTAGGACCGAATTTCAACCACGACGCTATGCACAGCATTTTTAGGGCCCAACACAAGAAATCAGAACACACAAGTGTGTTGATCAGAACTGGGTTAACGATTTAATGAATGATCGTTAGAGTACATCCATCGATTAAACGATGAGCTAAAACTAGGTGAAGTTGACCTACGGACAAAATGGCCTGGAAGGGTATTGGTCAGTGTCCGTCATGAACAGCTGTCACGTGATTGGACCGGACAATGGAGACGGATAGACGAAAGGGTACTTAGCAATTTGTCCTGGCTGGCGAAGACTACTGATCTGAATTCGATGCCCTAGCAAATTTATACCAGAGAAACTTCCAGAAACATTATGGCTTGCCCCAAGATTACTAACCCAATAACTCCGTCCTACGTGAGCCAAACTATGTAAACAGCGATAGTCGAAAACTTCCAGGCGATGGATATCTTGTCCTCGCAAATTCAACCACAAAGCAGAACTGACCAAAGTGGCACAATATGCACAACCGTTCGACTTCAGTGAGATCACATCGACGCCATAAAACTTTCAGTCTTATGCACGCTACTCTAGCCTTAGAAATGCACGCGCTCTCCGTAGCTGCGCTACCAGCATTTGTCACGTAAGTACTTGGGTGCCTCTGAAATCCTGGGTATGGTCGAGGTGGGTGTCTTGGGTCGTGGCTGGTCACCCTTCCCTTGAACCCGACGAAATGCTCCAACACGACCAAGCGTCTCAAATAACCTCTGCTGCAGAAGCCCTACTCGCCGTATTTTGTGGCGGAAGTTTTCTCATCAAAGTGAGGCCGAAAAGCCAATATCCGGGGCTATGACCGGGTCGGTGAACCACTGGCAATTAACCTAGGAGAGTTGGCTAAAAACCGTTTCCAAAGCCAACAAGAAGAGGCGTAAGAACCATAATTACCAACACCTTGTCAGTGATCACCGGTTCGATTGGGCACCTTGGACGTTGGACTCCGTCAAAAGAGTCTATGGTTCGATGAACTGGACACCGGACCCCAAACGATTACGGTTTTCACACACCGCCCCGCTGACTTTCTGGTCAGGTTTTGGCTGGCCGAAGGCTCAGGTTGTGAATTCCCCGAGAAAATTCACCTGTCTTGCCTTGGGAAACCTGGCACTATAGTGCCCACGAACGAATCACGGACCCGATCACGACGATACTGCACCTTGACGTGGTGTGATGGCTCAATGACCCTGCAAGCTACAAAGGATGGCTTCTCACAGCCGTAGGCCCAATCAGGTTACCTGGGGCTTCCTCTCGACGGTGGAAGAAGTCTTCGCACTTTATTGGACAGCTACCGCCCGCCCAAGCTGGGCAGCCCCCAGCCAATAAGGTGCTGTCCAGTCCACGTTCCGCTTACCTCATTGGGTGCATGAGGCTAAAGGCTGATCCCGAAAAGCGGCCCGATAATCAACGCACCAGCGAACAACAAACTTGACCGAAATTCAAAGGCCTTGAGTGACAGGTCTCCAGAAGGTCCCACACGGGTGCTTTGTTCACGCTCCCGCGTTGAATTTACGCCCCACTGCCTTGTGGGTCAGACTCTTAAGTCAAAGGCTCACGTTAGGGTTCTCAAAGAAAAACCCCTTCGTCGGTGTGGGCTACCGCGAAGTATGTCGTTCCCTAAAGTCTTAGGCACGCATTTGGAAAACGATCCTTCCCTTCTGTCTAGTTCTTCTCGACCCTAATTAATCCCAGATGCCTCCTGTTTACAGCACCCATCCAATATCACTCAGCGTTTTACCATCAAGGCCAGAGATTCAGAAGCTATAGGATTTTTAAAG